ACAACCTATGTATCTTTATTTGAATAAAAAGTAAAAACCATAATAAAATAATTGACTATATTTTGTGAATCATTACATAGGTAAAGGAAATATGAAGAGTAAATGAATATTAACCTTAATATAGCATCCTCCATTGTGAATATGAATTCGAAAAAAAATTGATGATATGTAATAAATAAATGATTATATTTTGAAGTGAATTGTGATTGTGAATAAGAATTAGAAAAAAAAATTTATGATGTGTAATAAATGATTATTTTGAAGTGAATTGTGATTGATATTATGTTATTTTAATTTTTAACTATTAATACTTTTTGAATCCTTTTGCCGCCTGGCTGGCATCTTAAAATTTGAGTTTTATTTTTTTTAATATTAATAACTTCCGTTTTTTACATATTTTTTTTTCTCATAATAGCATAACTTTCAATTGTATTTCCCTCCCTTTCCTTTTTTTCCCCAAAAGAAATTAAATAATAAAAATATTATTTGTTTCCATCTTTTTTTTCAAAAGTTGAAATCATAATTTTCATCTATTTCTATAAAAATCTATCATGTTTTCTTTCCAAATTATAAAGTATCAAAGCTACCAACCGATTTATCAATTCTCATATTTTGAGATTGCCCTATATCGCTTAGAATTAAAACAGAAATAATGCTAAAAAAAATCCTCAAACGTCGAGAATAAATACTCAACTTTCAGAAAATACTGAATATAATTTTTTAGAAATATTTCCGTTATTTTAGCGGCAGGGTTATTTTTGAAAATTTAAACAAAAATTATTCGGGAATTTTTTTCCGGTTTTTTTTTCAAGGATTTATTTTCCCCTATATTAAATTTAAAACTTAAAAAATGGGTGTATTTGCATCTAGATCCATTTAAAAAGTGTATTTTAACAACTCTGGGGATCATATATATAAAATAATAGTTTGTATAATTCTTTATAAATTTGATAATATATAAAATATTTTTAAATATAGAATCGGCTCAAACGGCTTATTGAGCCGCACTAGTCAAAGCCGTTTTTTACGACTACGAGATTTTTCACTGAACTCTCACCTGAACCCATTTTTTTAGAAGGGGGGGGGTTTACAACTCTGATATATATTGATGAAATATATTCGATATTCTAGAAATATTGGATAATTATGATTATCCTATATAATATCTTAATACAATAAGGCAAAATTTATTAAACGCATTCAAAAATATTATTTTTATATTTTATAATAAAAAAATTAAAAATATTTAATAGAATATGGCGCAATTTAACACATTCAAAAATATGATTTTTAAATTTTATAATAAAAAATTTAAAGACGCCATCTAGCGGATAGAATATTATTTCTTTTACATAAAAAATGTTATGAGCAATTTTAATTTTATAAAAGTATTGAAGCTAAAATATCTAATAGATAATTTTTTACACCTGTCCAAACCTTTATCTTATTTATAAACTAATTAATTCTCAATTAATATTAGGAAAGTGAAAACCCACTGGAAAATGTTTGGAAATTTAATACATAAATATAAGCCGAGCGATATTTAGTAATAAAAAATTTATTATGTAATTAGCCGAGCGTAATTTAAATAATAAATGATTTATTATGTGTTAGCCGAGCCACATTTCCCAATCGAGCGATATTTAGTAATAAATGATTTATTATGTGGTTAGCTGAGCGATATTTCCCAGTCGAGCGATATTTAGTAATAAATAATTTATCATGTGGTTTGTCGAGCGACATTTACTAGCCGAGCGATATTTAGTAATAAATGATTTATTATGTGGTTAGCCGAGCGATATTTTCTAGCCGAGCGATATTTTCAGCCGAGCGATAAATAGACCCACCCAAGAAAAATTTGATTAAATATTTATAATAAAATTTAAAAATAATTTTGTAAAATACTTCCTCTTCTTCCACTAAAAATAATTATTGTTCTTCTAATGTTCTATTTCTTAAAAAAATTTGCCATATATCATTAAAACCAATTACCTTGGCCTTGTTCAGAAAAATATATTCTAATAATATAGAATCTTGCTAATACTATGATAGAATCTTACTAATACTAATATGTAAATATTAATTAAAACCAATTACCTTTGCCTTGAGGTACTGTATTTATATTTGATATTAGCTTTTAAGGTTTAGTCTTTATTTATAATTTTCTACAAAAATGGTATGTAAATAGCTTTTGAGGTTTAGTCTTTATTTTATAATTTTCTACAAAAATGGTATATAAATAGCTTTTGAGGTTTAGTCTTTATTTTATATTTCTACAAAAATGGTATGTATATAGCTTTTAAGGTTTAGTCTTTATTTTATAATTTTCTACAAAAATGGTATATAAATAGCTTTTGAGGTTTAGTCTTTATTTTATAATTTTCTACAAAAATGGTATATAAATAGCTTTTGAGGTTTAGTCTTTATTTTATAATTTTCTACAAAAATGGTATGTAAATAGCTTTTAAGGTTAGTCTTTATTTTATAATTTTCTACAAAAATGGTATATAAATAGCTTTTGAGGTTTAGTCTTTATTTTATAATTTTCTACAAAAATGGTATGTAAATAGCTTTTGAGGTTTAGTCTTTATTTTATAATTTTCTACAAAAATAGTATGTAAATAGCTTTTGAGGTTTAGTCTTTATTTTATAATTTTCTACAAAAATGGTATGTAAATAGCTTTTGAGTAGTGTTGTTAAACGGCTCGTTTTGAGCCGATTTTTAAATACGGCTAACTCAATATTTCTTCTAGAATATTAATAAGCAAGCCTAAAGATTTTGTTTGCAGAAGGAACATTAGTTTGGACATCTATTAGCGAAATCTCAAGGCTTAAACTATATTTTTCTAGCTAAAATATTGAGTTAGCCGTTTTAGAAAATTGGCTCAAAACGAGCCGTTTAACAACACTACTTTTGAGGTTTAGTCTATTTTATAATTTTCTACAAAAATGTGTATGTAAATATTAATTAAAACCAATTACCTTTACCTTGAAGTACTGTATTTATATTTAATTAGCTTGGTTTCGTCTTAATTTTAGAATTTTCAACAAAAATGTGTATGTAAATATTAATTAAAACCAATTACCTTTGCCTTGAGGTACTGTATTTATAATTTTAGAATTTTCTTGGCTTTATTTATGTCTACCCTATTGTAAGGATGCGAGAAAGATTCCGATTCCAAGCGCCGATATTCATTCTTTCATTCATCACCCACCAGGAGTGTAGCGTGCACCATGTATATTCACTAGTATATAGATCCTATACATGATGTATACCCGTTTTATTATAGTGGACGGTACCACTATGTAGTCAGCTAGCATAGTAAAGAAGAGACGAGTAAGAAAGAGGGGATCTATTAGTTCCGTTACCGGCAAGATAGTGTTAAGAATTGTAGCTAATATTAATAATAATGTACCTGACGCCTGGTTAGATTTAAGAGATGGGAAAAAAATTCTTACTGTTTGGTAAGTATATCCTTGGAAGATAACGCAATGTCTATATAACATGTCCTATTCCTGAGGTATTCAACTTCTCTGTAATTGTAATCTCACTTTCTGAAGTCCCTTGTCCTAAAGAGCTTATTGTCTTCGTCTGATTTATTCCTTCTTTTATCCTCAACCATTTGTCATTCTAAGTCAAAAAGTATCCCCATAGATCCTTGTCTGTATTAAGCAAACGATGCTCGGAATCCATGTTATTCACTATTATCATTATTAATATTCATGGTTTTAAGATTATCATTGACTTCGTCAAAAATCGTTTATTCAGTAGGGAAAGGAAAAAGGGTGTTATAAAGGGGAGGGGGAAATTTAGAAAAAAAATAAAATAATAATTATACTTATCTCGTCTCTTTTTATTTAAACCATAATTCCAATTGCGCCAAAACATAAGTTGTCATTAGACTGGGGATAAGAGATTGGAAATAAGGCAGTGCGAGAAATAGTCTGATACCTCCACGATTCCTGCTCTAGTTTAAACCATATTTAAGCATGTATTGTAGATGTTCCTTTAAATGTTTCTTGTTTTTGCTGAGTGCAAGAAAATCTATAAACGTAAGATTGATCAAGTCCATGTCCTTCAGACATTTTGCCAGCCAATAGTATTTGGGGGTTCTTCGCCTTTCATAATCCGGAGTCCACTTCATGGACGAAAATATCATATTCTCTCGTGAATGTCTTAAGCAGTGGCCGAGTAATTCTAATCTCCTCAAAGGAATGAGTCGTTTGATAGGTAGGATGTCACACCTGTTCCAGAGAGTTGTGTTTGGGGTGTTGTATGGATAGTAAGTTTTAGTGATTCTTCTTAAGCACTTGTTTATGAAGGTCTGGGATGTGTTGATGTTGCTTTTAGTGTCCTGCCATGTTTCCAAACCGTATGTTAAGATGGGTAGAATTATGGATTTAAAGAGTTTTATTTTTAGGTTCGTAGATAACTGGTTGGACGACCATAATTTAGTTAGCTGATGATATCGGGATCTGGCCTTGTTGGTCCTCGACTTAGTATCCAAAATGGTGGTGCCTAATGACATTATTCTGGTTCCTAGGTACTTAAAATCCGAGACCGTTTCTACCACATTATCCTCAAAGTTAAAGGGGTCGCTGTTGTATAGAAGGATATTGGATGCAACTAACTTTGTCTTTGAGTAGTTGACTTTCAGTCCGTATCCAAAGCAATTTTTGACAAACAATCACAGCAAGTTTCTTAATTTGTACTCAGAGTTAGCTAATATGCATACATCATCGGCATAGCATAGAAAATTTAGAGAGTTGTGTATGTTATTATCATATTGTTGATTCAGATATCGAGGGTTAAGAGCATGTTCTTGTTTGAAGGATTTATTCCGAATATCGTTCATTATTACATTAAATAGCATAGGTGATAAAATGCACCTTGTTTCAGTCCTCTGTTGCCTTAAATGGTTGTGATTTTAAGTTCAGATGTTGTGGTATCACGTTATGATTATCGTATATTATTTTTATAAGCGAAATCAGATGTTTATCTATTCTATGTCCTCCAGTAAGGGCCAGATCTTATGCTGTATGATGGAGTCAAAGGCTTGACTTAGATCAATCATTATGGCAAATATTGGGGACTTATGCATTCTAGCTTTCTCCAGAATAACCTTAAGCGCCATGGTTAGTTCCGTCGTGTTCCTGCCCTTCCTATATGATGTGATGGCGTTTGAGAGGTTTCTATGAGAGGTTTCTATGAGAGGTTTCTATCGATGATTGGTTTAATCCTGACGGCTATAATATACGTGAACATTTTTAGGGTAAGGGATCAGTGCAATTCCTCTGTAGTCCTTCAGGCTAGTCGGGTTCTTATTTTTAGGGAAATTAAGTATTATCGAGGTCATCCATTCCTCTGGGAAATTGCCAGTATTCCATATCTCATTAAAGAGGGGAAGCAGTAGACTAGCACTTAAATCAGCATCTATCTTCCAAAGTTCCGCAAAAATCCCATCGATTCCGGCTGCTTTATGGGTTTTTAGTCTTTTAATGGAATTGATTATATCTATTCTGTTCAGGTTCCGATTAGGTGGTTGGAAAGGATAGTCACATAATGGTTTAGGCCACCTTGTTCTGTAAATGTTCATGTAATGGTCTGTCCATATCGCTAATTGTTCCCTGGGGTCCGTTATAATATTATTATTTTCAATGTGTAATCTTGGTAGAGGATTGGATTTAAAGGTAGTGAGTAACTTAAGAGATTGGAAAGCGTTGTAAATATTATTGTTGTCAAAGCTATATTGTATGGATCTAGATAAGTTGGCAATAAAATATCTTTTATCTGTTCTTATGCAGTGAGTTATGTACCTTCTGTGGTGTTTAGTTTATTGGTTATAGGAGATATTTGTTGTTAAGTTTTTAATTATCTGTATTGTTGAAGGGGATAGCCATTCTTTACGTTTAATTCGTGGTCTTAAGCATGAATTCATACAGCTTGATAAACTTAGTTTCATATCCTTCCAAGTTATATTAGGATTGATCATGCCATTTTGGGTGTTTCTCCAAGTTGTTAGATTGGTGATGAACTCTTCCTTTATAACCAAATCATTCAGCTGTGCCAAGTCTTTCCTCATTATGAAGTGTGTAGAGTTAAGGTGGCTATGTTGATTTCGGTTTGGAAAAATGCTATTTTTTATCCTTAGCTCGCATCCTAGTGGGTAATGGTCCGTAAATAAGGTGAAGTTCAGTTTGCTGACGACTTTGATGTCCTTCACCCACTTAAATATATTGTTGGAAATTACAAAGAAATCAATTTGTGAGGTAGTGCCAAAAGATGGGCTTTTGTAGGTCATGGTGTGATGGTTAGGATGATTGAAGAAGGTATTTCCTATTTTCAAATTGAAGTGTTCACAGATTTCTATTAGTTTTTTGCCATTAGTGTTTGTACTTTGTACTAGAGTGGCGTTCCCGACAGGGACGGACTGGCCATAAGACCCAGTGGGCATTTTGACGAGGCCGCGAGAAAATGTCGATTTTAAGGCCGATGAGAGGAAAATATCAAAAAAGAGGCCGGTAGGAAAAAAAATTATTTTGTTCACATTATTTACTCTTATCATTTATTTATTTTTAATGATAGTGATTGATTGTATTTCTTCTTCTTAATTCATAGATCCTTTTGAGCTTGGGCTTGAGTAGAGTGAAAGCTAAGTTTTCATTTATTTATTTAATTTTTTTACATTAATTTATTGTATTTAGGAAACTATTGTGATTGATTGTATTTAATTGATCCTTTTGAGCTTGGGCTTAAGTAGAGTTAAAGCTAAGTTTTCATTAATTTATATTATATTTTTATACATTAATTTATTGTATATAGGAAACTATCTTGTTCTTAATTCATTGATCCTTTTGAGCTTGGGCTTGAGTAGAGTGAAAGCTAAGTTTTCATTAATTTATTATATTAATTTTTATACATCCATTTATTGTATATAGGAAACTATTGTGATTGATTGTATTTCTTGTTCTTAATTCATTGATCCTTTTGAGCTTGGGCTTGAGTAGAGGTAGAGTGAAAGCTAGGTTTTCATTAATTTATATTATATTTTTATACATTAATTTATTGTAATATAGGAAACTATATTGTTCTTAATTCATTGATCCTTTTGATCTTGGGCCTGAGTAGAGTGAAAGCTAAGTTTTCATTAATTTATTATATTATATTTTTATACATTAATTTATTGTAGAGGAAACTTTTGTGCGCCTAATATTTGTATTACAACAATTTACTGATCATTAGCAAACAAACATAATATAAGAAAAGAATCAACTTTATATACTATTTTTACACATAAATTGAGATGTATATAAATAGTCAAAAGTAAAAAACTTATTTATATTTCATAACCCAAAGATAGTAATTTTTTTTTATTATTATTACTGGCTGGTAACATAACAGATTACTTTATGCTTTATATTAAAATACAATTCTTTAAAAAAAATTATAATAAATTTTATTTTAGTTGAATTGATATATTTTTAAAAAACTTATTTATATTTCATAACCCAAAGATAGTAATGTTATTTTTTATTATTACTGGCCGGTAACATAACAGATTACTTTATGCTTTATGTTAAAATACAATTCTTTAAAAAAAATTATAATAAATTTTATTTTAGTTGAATTGATATATTTTCATATATGCATAGAAATGCCAAAAGAAAATTTAAAGGTGGAGCTGAAAAATTAAGAAATGCTACTGGTCTCAAAGCAGCTGGTGCTGATCCAAAACAACTTAAATTATCTTTTTTTGATAAATCACTACCAAGTATTTCAAATACTATTACTTCATGTAAATAAACTATTTTTTTAGAAATATCAACAACTGCCTCCCATTCACCACTACCTGAAACAACTACCTTATCTGCAACATCTTCATGTATTATGGCATCAGTTCAATCATTGCCACTATCCTCACACTTGTCAGAAGCAACTACATCAATAATGCCTTCTGATATTTCTCAAAGTGGATTATCAGAATTGGATATGCATACACATGAAAATTTTAAGTTGCAATTAACAGCCACTATACCTCAAAAACTTAGATTTTTAATGCAACATCCTATACAACCAATAAACATCAAATATGATAAATTATATTATCGAATGGTAATGAGTGAAAAAATACCTAGAAAATGGATTACCATAAAAATTATATGCAATAAAGCCCAAGCTGTGTACTGCTCAATCTGCCTGGCATTTGCAGTATGTGAAAACACTTTCACAACAGGCTCTACAAATTTTCGTCACATGCACTCAGTTATTAAAATACATGAAAATTCAAAAGGGCATATTAGTGCTGTCGATGCCTACCTCAGAGCTTCAAAAAACCAGTCATTTAATAATTCAATTAGCGTTAAAATATTAAGTGAAAAAAATCGACAAATTCATAACAATATCTACATAATTAAACAAATATTTGAGATAATTAAGTTTTTAGGTAAACAAAACTTACCATACAGAGGATCAAATGCTACCGAAACACTTAGCCTCTTTGATAATGAAAATTTAAATCATGGCAATTTCCTGGAAATGATCCGTATTATATCAAAGAATGATCAAATACTTAGAGATCATTTAGAGAAGGCTATTTTAAAAAGCAAACGTAGAATAGATACGCTTAAACTGTCTAACAAATCAAAATCGAAGAGAAGAGGTTCTCTCATAACCTTGTTGTCAAAAACAACTGTCAACAAAGTTATTGATGCTGTTCTTGATCAAATCAGGAATTTAATAAAAAAGGAGATTGATAACAAACGGTTTAGTTTGCAAATGGATAGTAGTACTCAAGACATTTGCGTTTATGATCAAGCAACCATTTGCCTACGATACATATATAATGGTAAAATAACAGAAAGGCTTTTTGCACTTACAAAAGTTACGAACTCTTCTGGAAAAGGATTTTTTGATATCTTGAGTGAATGCTTTTTAAAACATGGAATTCAAATGAGAAATATAATTGGAGAATCATTTGATGATGCTGCAAATATGCGGGGGGAATTTGTAGGGTTGCAAGCTCTTATTAGACAAGAGGCTCCAGGTAGCTTGTATATTTGGTGTTATAGTCACATATTAAATCTCTGTATATGTGATTCATGCGATAATATTGAAGGCAAAATTTTATTTGGATTATTGAACAGACTAACAACTTTCTTTGGTGAATCATATAAAAGGATGGACGCTTGGGTGAAACAGAATAACTCAACTGGCCAAAATAAACTGAGAAGGCTGCAAAAAATAGGTGAGACAAGGTGGTGGGCACGTGAAAAAGCCCTTAAATGGATATATGGCAAAGAGAGTTTACTTCCAATAACGATAAGTGCACTTCGATTTATAATAGATAATAAATCATTTGAGGCAAAAACCTCATCAGAAGCGCAGTCGTTGATAGATAATTTATGTAAATTTAAGACTCTTAGTACAGCTGTAATATTAAATTTTTGAAATAATGGGGCCATTGTCATTGTATCTTCAAACCAAAAATTTAGATATTTTGTCGGCATGGAAGATGATAGAAGATGCTAAGTCTTCTGTGTCATCGATAACTATTACATTAATTCAAAATAAAGCAATAAAAATGGCTTCTGATTTAAATGAAACACTTTCATATTTAAAGCTTGCGGAGGGTATCTGTGTACAGACTGCTCTGCCAAAAATTCGAATAGGACGAGCAAAGAGAATAAATAGTGATGAAGGCCAGGATGAACGTCCTCAAGAATCGATTGACCTTTATAGGGTGGAAGTATTTCGTCCTATAATTGATCAAATTATAAACAGTTTGTCGGAACGCTTTTCTGCGAATAGAGAGCTTATTTTGAATGTGCGATATTTGCATCCAAGGCATTTTGATGACATAAATAGTATAGTTTCAGAAATGGCCTTGAAAAAACTGGCGCAATTGGCAAATATATCGAGTGATAAATTACATAACCAATTGTGTTCATTTTCTAGTGTATTCAAAGATTTAATAGCAGAATTAAATGAAACGGACGTTGATATCTTATGTACAAGTGAGGAGTCGAATGAAGAAGATGGAATACTACAATATGATAATAACTCGAAGTGTGATATGTGTAACAATTGTTTAATATGCGTGTATGAAATTCTTAAGAGGTACAATATGCATGCAAGTGCATACACTAATTTATTTTTGGCGTATGAATACATTTTAACTTTATCATTTACGCAGGATTGCGAGAGAACATTTAACAAATTGAAAATTATAAAAAATAGGCTGAGAGCTAATATAGGCCAAGAAAAATTAGAAGCATTATTAATGATGTCAGTTGAGCGAGAACTATTATCGCAGATTGAAATAGAAGTAATTCTTGTTTATTTACTCATCAAAGATAAAGAGAGATTTATTAACATAAAAATTATATATTACTAATTCATTTATTTAAATCTTATTTATATCTATTACAATATGATCTCTAATTTTATAAGTGCAACAATTTTATTCTCTGTGCAATATTGTATAATTGTTATAATTTTATATGTGTAATTAATTGATTTTATATATTGAGTATGTATTATATTATATTTAACATGTGATGTATGATTTGATTTTATAGTGCAATATCCTTGTAAATCTAATATAAAATATATATGTGCAATGAATATTTTTTTATATGTGCAATGAATATTTTTTAATATGTGCAATGAATATTTTTTAATATGTGCAATGAATATTTTTTAATATGTGCAATGAATATTTTTTAATATGTGCAATGAATATTTTTTTATATGTGCAATGAATATTTTTTTATGTATTCAATGAATTTGATTTTGGATGTGCAATTTTTTAAAATAAAATATATGATTATCCTGTCATTATTCTTTTCTTTTTTAAAATGTAAATTGTTTGAACCTATAAAAAATAACAAGTAATAAAAATATATAATTTAAAGAAGCCATTTAAGGGAACCCAGCCAAAGGCCGGGTAAAAGCGGGCCGAAGGCCCGCAAAATAGGGGGTATGGGGGCGAAGCCCCCATAAAAATGAGGCCGCTATAAAAAATGCCCACGAGGCCGTAACGTCGCCAGTCCGTCACTGGTTCCCGAGGCAGGTAGATTTGTTAGGCTTCCCGACCGAGGCATTGAAATCGCCAGCTAATATGATACTATCTCGATGAGGTAGTTCTTTTAAGATATTTTCCAGCTCTATGTAAAAAACTTTATTATTATGTGGCGAATAAATATTGAACAGGTGAATTTTCTTGTAACCAATATTTAAGGTAAGGCAGCAAATGCGACTGGAAATTGGATTAAAGCTTACATATTTAATTAGTTTGTTATGGATTAAGATTGCTACACCTGCCCAAACATGTTCAGCATTCGAGCTGCAGTATAAGGTGTATTCTAAGAGATTTCTTACTTCCGTTTCTTTCAAATGAGTTTCTTGTAGAAGGAGGATGTCATATCGTTGATCGTTTATAGTTTGCCTAATAATTGTGAGTTTGTCACTTAGCGATCTTATATTTAAGGAAATCATCCTAATACTATGGTCTTTCATTGTATATAAAAAAAGGAAGTATTTCTTATGATTATCGTGCGATTCTACACCAGGAAGGAGGGAAATGAATATAAGAAATTATGATCAATATAGAAGTATAATTGTAAATTATAGTTAAGTTATAAAAAATTCCTACCTTATTCCTTGTAAGCCACCATTAAGGCAATTACATGGTATAACATCGTTTATCCACGCCATGGGATAGATACTCAATCTTATTCGAATAGCATAAATGTTATATAAATATAGCGTAACATTGTTAAAGTCAATCTGCTTGAAAATTTGTACAAGTGTAAAATTTATCCTTAGCCTAAGTGGTACACAATACTTAGATTTATATTAACAATTTCTATATATTTAAGGTCCATAAACTTAAGAAATTATATAAGTTAATTATCATTGATATAGTTACCTTTATCTTACAGAGAGTTCGCCTTATAAGAATTAAGAATGTGCACGGGTTATTAGAACAAAAATTATACGGTAAATAATTTAATTGAGAAATATGTCTGCTTTTTTAAGTAATGTATTGAGATATATTTTTTTATTTGTATGCGAAAGAGTTTTTTTGTGTGTTTTACTTTTCCTTCTCCTAAAATGAAAAAAAAAAATTTCTTTTATTTTTATTTATTTTTCTATTTACCTTATCATATTGATTGTAATTAATTTTTCTATTTAATTTATTTATTTTTTTATTAATATTTTATCTTTTTATTCGGAGAGTGTAGAACAAGTATAAAAGAATAAAATAGGAGTTCCGGAGAGATATTAGAAAAATTAAAAATCAGGAAGGAAAATATAATAGTGTTACTTTCAAAGATCAAAGGAAATTAATATTTATTTAAATATAATTTTTCACGCCAAGATATTTAAAATTGCTAACTATAATTTCATTTTCCTCAATGTATGCTATTTATAGACGCCTCAGGGGATGGCATAATAAATTATATTAAAGGTGATACCGACTTGTTGCTATGGAGTAGGACAAAAAAAAACAGATCATCTACGTACGATGATTATTAGGTGATTGATACTATATTGTTTGATGATCGATCAACTAGGTTCATAGTGTTCATGGTTTCTTTTATATGTTTATGGCTATATTGTAAGGAGTAGGTGATAGTACGCAGCTTTGTTTCACCTGACCGTAGTTGTCCGTGGTTCCAGGACTTATGGATTTTGTATATTGGCCGAATTGTTATCGGGGGAGTTTTGATAAAGGTGTCATAATAAGACATTTAAACCACTCCTTGTAGTCGATAGATTTCTAATTCTTAACATTTTTGTAACTACATCTTTAACATATTATTTAGATTGGATCTTTGAAGACTAGAAACCTTCTTACTAGATTAACCTTATAGCTAGGGTAATCAGAAATCACTAGGATTTACAAAAATATAAAGGGTTAGAGGAGACAGTATATAACAAGTGATAGTGTTGAACCTATATCATTGTAAGATAAAAGAAAAGAGATCGGAGAATATAATAAGAAAGTAACCAAAAGGTGGTTTACAATATGACTGCGTTAGATTGGTTTGGGACTTCTATTATTTTAGTGCAGATTTACTGTTAGAATTTTATCATTTAAGTAAACAAGAAATTAGTATAAAAGGATGGATATTATTTTGTATAATTTCACTAATGGCTGTTATGGTGAGAAATCAGGAGTAGTTAAATTAGAGTACAACTTAGAGAGCACAATTTTCGAATTATTTATGAGTTGGTCACCAATTACAAGAAACCCATTTAGTGGGGCAAAGGACCCGGGTTTAAGAGTTGAAACCATCAAGATGGGTTTAATTTAGAATACAACTTCTGAAACTGCAGGATTTAAAAGGGAATACAGAAAATAAGAAGTTAACGTAAGGCGTTTTCCTAGCATCTTCTGACAATGTTTCTATCATTTATGGCCTAAACAGAATATAGGTGTATAGCATTACATACGATGTTGTCTGTAATATAGAAAATTCATGATAAATTTAAGAAAATAAGTTAAGGACAGACTAATAAAAAAGAAAAAATATCCCAATAAATTATATTATTATTATTAACTTACTTTTAGAAAACTATTCAAAGGAAAATAGTATATATTTATATTTATGAGAGAATGATAAGGCAAAAAAATAACAAAACGAGGGAGGGAGACATACTGAGCCAAGAGCGAAAAAATATTTTACATGAAAAGAGAACATCAATCAAATCAAAAGCAAGGATAATGTCTTAATTACCTTAAAAGAAAGAGAAAAAGGAATAGCGTAAAGGAAATTTCTTGGGAATTCTGAAAGGAAAACATATTATCTAAGGGAGAGCCAATCGAAAAAATAAAATAAAGGTAAATAAATAAATTGTGAAAGTTTCCTAGGACTAATTTTATATAAAAGGAACCAACATGTTGGAAGAAATATGAGGCCACCGGTAGAGAAAAACAATTAAGAAAAAAGATAATTTAATAAATAAAATTTAAAGCTGTACAGAGAAAATTTTACCTCTATATCTCTGTGCACATTTGGAAACCGATTAATAAATAAAATTTAAAGCTGTACAGAGAAAATTTTACCTCTATATCTCTGTGCACATTTGGAAACCGAGTTGACATAGACATTATAATAAAAAAGATTTAAAAAATATGTAGGGAAATAAAATACAGTTTGCGTATAAAAAAAAATAAAGTAAATTTTTTGTTTAATAGAAGACTGGTAGGGGGAAAACTTCAGGGTGGGGTGACCTAATCACTTTGCAATAACCAAAAATATAAATGTTACTAAGTTCCAATAAATAAATACAAAAATTAATAACAAGTTGCATAAGACAATCCTACAAACGAAAAGAGAAAAGTTAAAATGTTAAGAAAAGAGAGATCGATGGCGCCCAATATTAGAAAAGACTTTTATTTTAAGAGAAACAAAAATAATTTATATAACCGTGGCTCCTAGAAGTTGAAAAATATGAAAAATTAAAACTAAAAAAAATTTCCTGAAAAAGTCGTTTGCATTGAAAGGAAAAAACATAAAAATTAATGAATAGGCAGAAATAGTAAAATAGAAACATATTTGGGAGGGAGTCCGAGTGAGAGAAAAGGGAAATAAAAATTGAGCGTTAAACTAATATATATAATATAAAATATACGGAGATCCTGGAGAATATACTAAGAAAGTAACCGAAAGGTGGTTTACAATATGACTGCGTTAGATTGGTTTGGGACTCCTACGATTTTAGTGCAGATTTATTTTTAGAATTTTATCATTTAAGTAAACATGAAATTAATATAAAAGGATGGAAATTATTTTGTATAATTCCACTAACAGCTATTTTTTGACAAAAAATTATATAAGAAAAAGGATTTTCCGAAGTAATATGAAAAATAAAAACGGAAACAAATTAAGACATATTCTATTATTATTTTATTTTTATATATTCTAAGAAATGAACGTAAAGACAAGAAATAGGTATTAATAAGTAAGAAAGGAACAATGAGACAAGGATTAAATTAAAAGATTAAGAAAAATATTTATTTTTTCCCTTTTTTATTTCCCATCAACATAAATCAAAAATCTGGCTGCTTAAAAAGATTTTGAAAAAATTAAAAATTTGAGAGGCGCCAAAAGAATTTAAGAGAATTATTATAAATAGTAGAGAAAATATATAAAGTGATAAGTCATATCTAAATTCGGAAATCTATATTATAGCCAGATTTAAATTATAATTATCTCTACATAAACATCCAGCATAGGCTCCGAAATAAACTAAAATAAAATATAATAAAGAGAAATATATGAAGAGATAGGTGAAAGCAAAATTTAGAAGAACTAAAAAAAAAATTTTTTTTTTTAAATAATTTTAAGAAAAAGTTTAATTCTATATATATAGAAGAACAAA